TACTGGAAACTGGTGGTTAAATATAAGGACTAGGATGCAAGGCATCGCTTAAATTCACAAACCGAGCTTGTAGTAACCAAGTGGAATTTCTGGGTTTGTTTTGTTCTTGAGCAGCTGACCCCCTGGCTCCCAAAAACAATATCACAAACTAGTTTCAAAATCCCTCTGGCTTTCAAGAGAAGTAATATACATAGCATAAGGGGCTACTGTTCAGTAAAAAATAATCTGAAGCCCCACTGGTTTAACAGAACCTCTCCAAAATAAACTCAGAAACCCTGAAAGGAATTAAGGAGATCCATGTTCAGATTCCTGATCCAACACAGACCTCAGTGAATGATCAAGAACTAGTCATTATCTTTCATAAAGACATGGGGCTTGAACCCATAGCCCTGACATGAAGAGTCTCATTACTGTGTGCTGTTGTGGCTAGAAAGTTGGAGTGTCACCATGGAGACCAGAGTTCAAATTCCCATTCAGATATGAAACTCAGTAAGTTGCCTGGTGCCACCAGTCTCTCTCAGCCTAAGGGTTTGTTGGGAGAATAAACCAGTATTCACTGCATGCATGAACACCACTGTTAACTATACTTGGCTGAGTTCATGCCTGAAATCTATTTTTCCATGTTCAGGGAATAAGTCTTTAGAGAACACTGATGGCTGGAGGGGATTGCACTCTGCTGCCAGGGGGATCTTTACTGGTCATGATGGTGGGGGGACTGATGCAAAACAGAAGACAAACTGGGGCTTCCAAGAGCATGTTAGGCAGGGACCACTCTCCAAAGTCCAAAGGTAAAGATGCAGCAGAAATCAGAGGAGATCAGGGGAGCTGTTGGCAATATAGATGCCAGCAGGGACCCTCCAAGACAGGTGAGAATGCATGATGATTACAGGGTTCGTAGTGGCAAGACCGGTTACAACCTTGGGCAATAAAACCAGGAACTCAACTTCATGTTGTCTTATCTTTCATAATTTCGTGTTTTTGCAAACCTGCTACAGGAAGAATAAGGGCAGCACTCAATTAGAAAGGCAAATGACTCGTGGAATACTCAGCGTAATAGCATCAAGCAAATTTGAAAGTTCAAACCATTTCCAATTTGTAGCGGCATCGTACAGTCTAAACGGAGCAAGTGTTGCCAAATAGCACCATTAGCATTTACATTCCGAAAGGACACCATATGCAGCTAAGGGGTATCGATTATCACCCTCCATTGGAAGGGAAATTAAAACCAAGGAAGGTGTGACGGTTTGGGGTGAGATATGCATAGAATGCTTTTAACTAATGTGGAGGGACCAGTAAGCTCTTGCCTGCTTGAAAGGAAATGCAATTACTGTATTTGCAGTGATAATTCAAATAAATAAATAAATACCACGGCAATCCAAAACAAAACTCCCCCATATATTTCTCAGTGTTAAAACTCAGTCATGAAGCAGTAGCGTGGCAGTCCGAAAGAGCGCTCCATGTACGTAGATACCTGGCAATGCAAACATACCTTGGTCTGCCCTCTTCCCATGCACCTTCATTTTTGTTCCTAGAAAATGCTAAGGGGCAGGGAAGCTCTCTGAGCTAACAGAATAAGAAGGAAACCAGCTTTGGAGTATTCCTCACAGAATCATCAGGAGATAGAAATACACTATTATATTGCATAGGCAGGCCTTGGGGTGGGGGGGCAGATGTTCCCAATTGACATGGAGAGGGCCACACAAGTACGTTTCCGAGCACAATTCAAAGTATTGGTGCTGACCTTTAAAGCCCTAAACGACCTCGGTCCAGTATACCTGAAGGAGCATCTCCACCCCCATTGTTCTACCCGGACACTGAGGTCCAGCGCCGAGGGCCTTCTGGCGGTTCCCTCATTGCGAGAAGCAAAGCTACAGGGAACGAGGCAGAGGGCCTTCTCGGTAGTGGCGCCCGCCCTGTGGAACGCCCTCCCATCAAATGTCAAAATGATCAACAACTACCTGACATTCAGAAGACATCTTAAGGCAGCCCTGTTCAGGGAAGTTTTTAATGTGTGACTTTAGTGTATTTTTTGTTTCTGTGGAAGCCGCCCAGAGTGGCTGGAGAAACCCAGCCAGATGGGCGGGGTACAAATAATAAATTATTATTATTATTATTATTATTATTATTGATAAGCAAAATACATTGATCCCTCCTCTTAAGCACATGTGACTTCACATGTGATTTCATCATATGCAGTTGAAGACGGGCTGGTTGAAATTGCACAAGTCAAGTCCCATGCAAGGTGGAGAGCTTAGAAGCTCTTTTTGCGCCGGGTCCACTTAGGGTTACCGCATGCAAAAAGAGTTTTTATGTTCTCCACTTTGCTTGCCAGGGATTGCCCACTCTGCATGTTGGCTCTGAAAGACTCCAGGATGCTCTTGTAAGAAGAAGAAGAAGAAGAAGAGTTTGGATTTCATATCCCGCTTTATCATTACCCTAAGGAGTCTCAAAGCGGCTAACATTCTCCTTTCCCTTCCTCCCCCACAACAAACACTCTGTG